ATTTGGGATTTGGAGTACCAAAGGCTGGCAGCAAACTCGCTCATATTGTGAAAACACGCCACTCTGTCTTACATAACCATTGAGACAAGCAGATGGCAAAAGGTATTTAACCTGCATACAACATGTTTGACCACTACACACTTGGTGTTTTGTTTTTCAGGCAGCAACTGTTTGCGTTTGTTCATTAATGAGCACGCAAACCAAAAAAGTCAGAAAAATATCTACACGCAACAAGGATAAGATCAGACGCTGATGTTAGGCGGTTTTCATCAGGAGAGAATCTCTCTAATAGTCAATGCCAGAACTCCACACATCTTCCAGATAAACACACTAATCTAATAAAGCCTAGCCTGCTAAGATAACTAGCTACGTTTACATGGACACCTATTGTTTCTGTCACAATGAAATCATTACGATTGATGAATCCGAACATAGTGTTTACATGAACGCTAAACAAAGTCATGGGGTTGATGTGTGCATTTATGTGTCACAAGTTTCCAATCAGATTTATTTTTTGACATGCTGCTGGTTTAAGACATGCATGCTAGCATCATCCTGCTCCTTTTCTTTGTTTTATAAAGCAGACTTTATATATTAATGTATTCAAGGGTTCTAATCTGGAGATGTCGAGCACGTGAAGCTTTGTGCCTTGCTTCTTATATTTATCAAACAGTAAAAATTGTGCTTTCCGCACCCAAAAAAGGCATCTGTGGATGAGAGTTCGAAGCAAGGAGTGGTGGGATGACATTTATGCTGCACCATTTCACAGACGATTAGTGGAAGGAGAGTATTAGAATGACATGACAGTCATTTATGACAATTATGACTCAACCAGAACATCTCGTTCCATGTGTCATACTGTATGTCATTACACCAAGTCTACGTCATTGCACATGTGAACTGCACCACTGACCAGTTTCAGTTGTCAATGTGATAAAGTGTTTACATTTCCTGTTGAACAGATTAGAAAACGCTTAAACCACCCCAACAATCCGAATAAAATTTCGAAATTTATTCCGACTGACGTGGTTACATCCAAGTTAATGTTGTTAAAAGTTATATAAATGTTCGGACACAGTTTTCTAAAAGTAATGTTTATGGAATATTTTTATAACGTCATTAATATTTGATATTCATAATGTTGAGAAAACGTTCTGAGATCAGCATTGTCGGAATGTCCATATGATCACAATGAGAAACTAGACATTTTAACATACTTACAATATTAAAAATAAACTTTTAAAATCTCACTGAGAAACTAGACATTTTAACATTCTTACAATATTCAAAATAAACTTTTAAAATTTCAATGAGAAACTATACATTTTAACATTCTTACAATATTAAAAATTAACATTCAAATACCATTATATTTGGGTGAAAATAAAGTTAGCAGAATGTTCTAAAAAAAAAACCTTTTTGTAACCTTTAAAGGGGTCATGAACTGAGAAACCAAAATTCCCCTGATCTTTTGACATATCTAATATAATCATTGAACTATAAAAACGTCCTGTAAGTTTCGAAACTCAAAACTTTCACGTTAGTCTAAAAAGAGCTTAAATTGAAGCCAATCTGCCAAACGACAGCTTGTGGAATGTGCCACTCTATGATGTAATATTGCGGCTAAACACGCCTCTGCAGAAGATCAACACCTGCTTCTACATCACTGCCTGTTTAGCCCCGCCCACCGATTTGCGCCTGTAGTGTAATAACAAGAGGCAAATGCAGATCTACGCAGAAACCAAACAATAAAGATGGCTCAGAAGACAACACAAGGCTGTGCAGTGCCTTCCTTCTGATCCCAATGTTAGGAAAGAGTGAATGAACTGTATTTTTAATGAAGATCCAGACCGTGTCAGTAAGAACTTGTTCCTATATTTACTTCATTTTATCACGGATTTGTTTACAAACAAGGCACAATTCGATGCAGGATTTTCCGAAAGATTAAAACTAAAAGATGATGCTCTGCCGACTATTTTGAATCCGACAGTAGCACACAAGTGTGAGAAACTGTTTTGATTACGTGGTCACTATTGCTTTGTCTGTTATTACAGATCGTTTGATATGTACTGAGTATTTTAATAACATTCTAATCACGACTAAAAAAATGGAAATTTCAACATTTTTGAAACATTTCAAAACAGTATTCCCACAACGTTTTTACAACCTAAATTTGTTACCTGGGATGTGATTTCTTTATTCAGACTGGGTTACTAGTCCGATTACAAATGGATTATTAGGGTCCATATAAACACTGTCACCATGAAGAATAGAATAAGATTGTAAGATTTGACGAGCCCGGTCTCATGAAAATGCGTATAAATAGTACGCCAAATAAAAACGAAAACTCGTGGTATTGATACGCAAAAATGGACTTTGGCGTGCATATGATACGCATGTGTTTGGCGTGCATATAATACGCGGTTTTCGCGTACATATGAGACGCATCTACCCCGCAACGCTAAACCTACCCATCGCGTAGCATATACACGCCAAAGTCCGTTTTTGCGTATCAATACCACGAGTTTTCGTTTTTATTTGGCGTACTATTTATACGCACTTTCATGAGATCGGGTTGGATTTGACATGGCACAGGCTTATCTTAATTTTATACAACGTGTGTGTGTATGTGTATATATAGCTCTTAAAGTTTGCTGATCTAATATAAAATATCACTCATCAGTCTATGGAAGGGTTTCATAATCACTGGGCTCATAGCAACAGATCCTCACTCAACATTTTGGTGACACTTAAAGTATAGCGTCTGAAGCTGGCAGAAGACTGAACACACCAGATGCAGACGCGACAGACTGAGAGAGCGAGTCCAGTTAGGAGCGTGTCCCGCAGCAACAGAGTCATGGCAACTCCACAGTCTCACAGCTTGAGGATATTTACGGCCCTCCTTAGTTACGGCTCTGTTTTGAACTTATGTACATGTTTCATGGCCATACCGGCGTATCCCGTTGCCAAAGCACAATCCCCAACCCGCCACTCTGGAGGAGAGGAGAGAGACCACGGCGCACTGCCTGCTGTTACATTCCTGCACCTCAAGTTCCCCAACCCTGAGAAATAAAATTCCCATGAAAACAAGAGAGCTCGTAGCACGCCACAGCACGATAAAGCTCTGTTTGCAGCAGATATCCAGTGGGCCGCACGTGCAACACTTATTATAGGAGCCTGCAAAGCAAACATTGTTGAAAAGCTTTAACACACTGTCAAACAGAGAGACATGTTCTGAGGTTGTTTTGTGGTAAATTTGTTTATCTAGCTTTTGAACAATTCTAAGTATTAGAGGTGCATTCAGTAGTTTGGTGCTCATTTAAAAAGTTGTAGACAGTAATAAATAAATAAATAGTGTTTTGTGAAGATTCACATGGGACTTCACTCATAATAGTTAAAATAATATAAAAATTGTCGCTTCCTCAGTGTACTTCGCCATGTTGATATGATGCGATCCGCCGTGTTTCACTAAACGTTGGTGAGAAACCTTGCACTCATTACGAATTTTGGCCATTCATTCATTTACACAACAACAGTGATTTGGGAGTCTGAAAACAAATATTTGAGACGGGGTGCAAGTTTATCCTTGTAAACTACAAAAATGCAAATTTGCGAAAATGGTGATGTCATGAGCATGTGTTTCTTTACAAAGTGACATCGCCAACTACTGGCCCGGCATGCATGATACAGCATTTTAGTTGTTTTCGTGAATCAGTGAGAAATGGGATCATTTGTCTTCAACATTGCATGCAAAACTTTTCAAAAACACAAAAGGGAAACGTTTCCATTTTAATACATCGTTATTGTGAAAACTTTACTATCAATGTAATTTACATAAAAAAGGATTATGGTGATCCACCATTGTGGTATCGGTACTTAAAGTACACAAAGAACGGCAATGCTAATGCTAGCTAAATAACTACTGAATGTGCCAATAAACTTTAATACATCTAGGATTAGTGCATCCAAAAATTAAAATCCTGTCATCATTTACTTCATAATTTAAAGGATGTTCCAGCTGTTTTTAAAAAATGCCCCAGTGTTTTTTGCCCATATAATGACAGTCAATTCTGTCCTACTTTCATTGTATGGACAATAGATAGATAGATGGATGGATGGATAGATAGATAGATTGATTTTAGCAACTAAATAGCAATGCCTTGACAACTAACTACAGTAATGTGGCAGCACCACTCATGTTTTCTTCAAAAATGTAAAAGTCAAGCTCGAACCGCTTACTGTTATTGAGTACATTTTGTCTCACATCCGAAACCTCAGGAGAGTGACATGCTTCAGGAAATAGCTGCAAGGAGGGGGGGGGGGAAACATTGTCATTCTACCACGTTGCTTTCTCTGCACCTGACACAGACGGATTTCATGAGCTTGTTTTGGATTTCCACTAAACACAACTTCACACTGTCCTCTTTGTAATTTGGTCTCAGCAAACATTCAATTGCGGGCCGTGTCATATCCTCTGCCCTGCAGGCCTGTCTAGCATGACATCATGTGGTGGGAAATAATTTTGTAACAAAACAGCATGTGTATGTCAAATGTATGACCTCTGTTCTGTTTTTGCTGTTAAATGCAATGCCAGTCCAAACATGAAGCGTGCATGCATAGTTTCACACATCACTTGTATGACGTCTAAACATTGTTGCATTCCAACAGTATCTGATAAACATTCTAATCTATGATCTGCCAAAGCATCCTGAACCATCCATAGACTGGCCCACATTAATATTCAGATAAACAGCAGTCAAACCATGTGCAGAAACCAGACGTTTCCCCATGTGCACGCTCTGGAATTTGTGGTATGATTAATTGAAAGGCTGGTCGACAGCATCTCTTGCGTTTTCAAACATTATGGAAAACCATCTGGAATTGAAATATTTTCACCCCTCTGGGTCGCGTGGCATGGCTTGACTCCGGTGGGCTACACCCCATTCTGGTAGTATTTAAAGAGGGGCTCTCTGCTCTCCACTCCACTACAATCCTGCAGTCTGACAGCGATCACACACACCAGAGAACCAAAACAAACCAGTGGAGTGTGCGCTTCTGCAGGGAACTCTTGGAGGAAATGGCTGGAACAGTATTCACCAGATCATGCATCGCTCTCTGCTTGCTTATACATACGGTGAGTGAACACAGCAACGATACTGTATATATTTCAAATAAATGAAGCTCTCTTGTGCAGAAATGACATAAATTAGCTGATTTGATTATGTAAATGAATGATGAATTATTTTACTACCATTTGAAATGACAACATACATAGTAATTAAAGAATTAGTGTGCTACTGTTTGCAGAGTGAGTTGGTTAGTCATAAGTGTAAGTTTGGGTAATTGTTCTAATTAGCTTTAATTAAGTGCATTCTAATAAAGCTTTGCCATGATAACATTTAATGTGAATATTATGTAAGTCACTGTACCGGTTTGTGTTTGCATGTGATTTTGTGATGCTGAGAACAGTGATCTCAATCCAATCTGCTTTGACTGCCAAGACTCTAGTCTACCATTTGAATGAATATATTCTACATATTTTTAATATATAAACCTAATATTTATATATAATGTAAAAGTAACATTATTTGTAACTTTATTATTTTCAGTGTACACTGTAAAAAATGATTTTCCGAAGACGGAAATAAAACAAAGATCGCTGGAGTACGTTTTACAAGAAAATACTATTGAAGTTTTTCAACATCACATTATCATGTAGCCTAATTCACTGATACTAATTGTTTGTGAAATGTACTAACAATTTCTGCGAGAAAACTGATTCTACACCAACTGTTTTCAGTGTAGCAGGCGAACTTTTTTGAATCTTTCATATTTTTCTACACTTATCATTATTTTAAACATGCTTTATGTGTAACACTAGTGTAATTCCAAAACATCACTTTCCATATTACAAATCTACATCTGTAATGCATATTATCTCCCCCTTGTGGCCATAAAGAGTATTGCACACGGACTGTCCGATCATAGCAATTAATTTGTCCCAGATATTTCAGAATAATCTTTGTGAGTTAATAAAATTATCATTACCACAGATTTATGAGAGAAAGCTTCTGTTGCAACCCTAACATTGTGCCATGTTCTATGCAGGCGCTGTGTCAGGACTGCTCTCAGCCCTGTGACTGCCCGGCTGAGAGCCCTTTGTGTCCTGTAGGCACCAGTCTAGTGCTGGATGGCTGTAGCTGCTGTAAAGTGTGTGCCCGACAGGCAGGAGAGCCCTGCTCTTTCCTCGAGCCATGTGACCATCATAAGGACCTGTATTGTGACTATGGTGTGCTGAGTGACACTGAGACAGGCATCTGCATGGGTGAGTGTAATGTTGCGTTTTGGAAAGTAATTGAGTGTTATGTAAAGAGGAGAGAATTCAAATGTTTTGCATGTATTGCACTACACTTTTTGTCCACAAGTAGGAGCCTTTTAGTATTAGGACGTTGTCTAATGGCTGTTGCATGTGTTGCAGCTCAAGAGGGTCAGACGTGTGACCTAGGCGGTGTGATTTACCGCAGTGGTGAGACGTTTCAGCCCAGCTGCAAACATCACTGTGTCTGCATGAATGGGGAGATTGGCTGCGTGCCGACCTGTGCCAGCAACATACGGCTGCCCTCTCCTGACTGTCCCTACCCAAGACGCGTCCAGATCCCTGGCAAATGCTGCGAGGAGTGGGTGTGCGACCAGATCCCACAGGAAGACACCTTCCAGTCAGCAATGGCTGGTAGGTCAATCGGCAAGTCAACTTTTCTTTCATTTTGCTCCATTAAGTTGAAACAGCTGGCCTTTTTCAAATCTCCCAATCTCTTAAAAGTGCACTCGTTGGGCCTAAGGGAGAAGGGGACCACCTATAAATTAAATATGTGTCCCTGAACCACAAAACCAGTCAGAAGGGTCATTTTTGGAAATTGAGATTCATGCATCATCTGAAAGCTGAATAAATAAGCTTTCCATTGATGTATGGTTCGTTTGACATTATTGGACAATATTTGGCTGAGATACAACTATTTGAAAATCTGGAATCTGAAGGTGCAAAAAAATCAAAATATTGAGAAAATTGCATTTAAAGTTGTCCAAATGAAGTTCTTAGCAATGCATATTACTAATCAAAAGTTACGCTTTTGATATATTTGCGGTAGGAAATTTACAAAATATCTTCATGGAACATGATCTTTACTTTATATCTTAATGACTTTTGGCATAAAAGAAAAATTGATCATTTTGACCCATACAATGTATTGTTGGCTTTTGCTACAAATATACCTGCTCTACTTATGACTGGTTTTGTGGTCCGGGGTCACATATGCTGAAATATGGTCCCGTACACTGTGAATTTCCAAATTTTACTAAACTCGTTTTACTAGCCCGCACTGCATGGCAATAATATGCTTTCCTAGTTGTGATCATCAGTGCAAGAATTTAACATGCACTTCCTCTTCTTTCAGCATATAGAGAACTATCCGATCAGGATGTCCAGCCTGAGAGCGCAAGGGACAACTGCATCGTTCAGACCACTGACTGGAGCGAATGCTCTGCAACCTGTGGCATGGGGGTGTCCTCTCGCGTAACCAACGACAATGAGCAATGCCAGCTGGAGCGGCAGACTCGCATTTGCATGATCCGCCCCTGCAATGCAGAGCTGGAAAAGGACATCAAGGTAAGAGAGCACTAAGTTAAATCAAACATACACTGGCCTTGTTCTGCTCTGGCTCGCGGACAGACTGTGTGATGTAAATTTCATCTTGAGCACTGATAATTCGAGCACTCAAAAACAAAAGGTCCTCTGTGTAGTGTGCGTACACCCAATGTGTCAGTCCACATTCACAATCAATAGAGTATGCTTGTAAAAAGGTTAGCACACTCAAGCATATGTTAGATGGAACATGGAAAATTAAGTATAACCTGGCCTTAAGGCCAGAAACTACAGAGCCCTGAAGATGGCATGAGAAAAAAAATAGAAATCGTGGCCATGGATTAAGAATTTATTTCCATGATGTATTCATTTGTTCCCTCGTTTTAGGTAAATCATGGCCATGTTGCACTACTTTGTTTACTCTTTTTAATTGAGTTGAATTGTGTCACATGGGAACAAATTAGTAAATAATGTGAATGAATTAGTTCAACATGGCCACAGTTTACCTAAAACAAGAGAACTAATTAATACATCTTCTTCTTTTTACCTCCCATGTTCATGTTTCATACCGACTCACAGTTGCGTGATGTAAATTTCCGTCATCAGCACAGTCAACTGATATCCTAGCACAGTGGTTCCCAACCCTGGTCCTGGAGGCACCCCAACACTGCACGTTTTGCATGTCTCCTTAATCAAACACACCTGATTCAGGTCATCAGTTCATTAGAAGAGACTCCAAGACAGGGGTGGGCAAACTTGGCCCTTCCAGGCCACTTTCCTTCAGACAGTGCGTTCCAAACGGGATATATCGCCCTCCGAAGGGCACTTCGGAGTGAAAACAATCATGGCCGCCATATTGAAGGGTCATTCCAAACCAAAGTAGTGGCCCTTCAGAATGAAGGATTTCGAAGGGTACAACTGATGGACACTTCGGGCTCCCATGATCCTTTGCGCAGATTCTTTGCATGATGAAGGCGCCTCCGTGTGGGCACGTGATGATGACGCAGAAGGGGCACTTCAAGAAACAGTTGTTTGTTCCCCTACACCCTTCAACCCTTTGAAGCTCTCACTCC